TTCATCACACCAAAAAGAAACTACGTACCCATTTAGCAGTCACTCCCCATATTCTTACAGTCCCCCTGTCTTAGGTAACCACTAATCTGTGGAGTCATCAGAAAAGTAATAACACATTTTTGCACAGAAAAACCATAGAAAAATATGTCATGACTTTTCCAACACTCAATACTTCGTGTCGCTATATTCTGGGCATTTCATTTAAGGAATCAAGCAGTATGTGGTCTTTTGGTTTAGCTTACTTCATTTAGAATAATATCTTCAAGGTTCATCTGGGTTGTTTATATTGATACTTTGTTCCTTTTTGTTACTTGGTAGTAGGCCATGGTCTGCTATACCATGTTTATACCATGTTTGTTTATCCATTCATTGGTTGATGGACATTTGGGTTGTTTCCACATTGTGGCTATTATGAACAATGCTGCTATGAACTTTCAAATGTCACTTTTTGCATGGAAGTCGGTTTTCATTTTTCTTGGGTATATGTTTAGAAGAGGAGTTGCTGGGATATGTGGGATCTCTCTGTTTAACTTTTTGAGGACCTCTCAGATTGTTCGTGAAATAGCTACCCCGTGTTTTGTTCCCACCGGCCATGTAGGAGTGTTCCAGTTTCTCCACATCCTGCCGACACTTGCTATGCCCACTTTTTTGTTACAGACCTCCTGATGGTTATGAAATGGCATCTCCTTGTGGTGTGGTACGCATTTCCCTGATGGCTAGTAGAATATTTATTTACTCCTTTTCCTAGTGTTTTCTCACTCTTAAGAAAAGTGAAATAAAAGGCTGTAGGAAATTCAGGAGAATAATTCATGCTGGTGCCTTACCTTCTTCTGGGGCTGGGTACGTCCTTTCATCATAATGTGAGGGGCCGCGACCAGCATGAATGTGCTCCAGCCACTTTCTTTCCTTTTTTCGAGAGGTTTTTGCTACAGGGTGTGTACACTCGCCAGAAAGAAAGAGACAGAGACAGAAAGCGAGAAATCACCCCCCGGGGGGGATGGTCACGCCGCAATCCCTTCTCCCCCATTCTCCCCTCGGGATCTTGGGCACTCAGGCACACACGCCCGGCGTGCGTTTAAGCCACTGGGTCCGGGACTTGAACCGCGGTCGACTACATGGGAGTTCGCTGACATAGCCATTACGCTAACTGCTGGTCTCTCTAGCCACTTTCTTCCGTTTTGGTCCCCCTTCC